GCAGACGCGAAGGATTGGAGCAGCTTTGTGTTCTGCACCTAACAGCAAAACATTTCCCTCTATTCTTCCGTCCCTGCAAACACACTTTGCCAGTGTCAGCTGGTCCTGTGTCCCCTCAGCGGCGTCACACAGCTCGTGGGTGCAGACTGAGAGTGAAGGAGACGTCTTCGTTTATCCAGTGAGCCACACATTTACACCGAAGCTATTGTGAAAGGATTATTTTGGAAAACAATTCCTAACATTCAGTTTTGATACACAGAGATATTTTTTTAGCAGTTTAATCAATGCTTTACCTTACTTTGCAGACGTGTAGCAAAGGATTACTGATGTGGAGTGCACCACCATCTGGACATCTGGTGATATAAGCACTCACACTGAACATATAGCTAAGCAAGCCTCAAAGACATGCTTTGCTTCAAGATGCAGCTTGAGAAACCTTAGCGAAGTAATCGAGTCACATTTCAAAGCAGTGAAGCATGCCCATCTTTTGTGTTTGCTGCCTGTCAAGAGATAATTTATGTAAAAGGCAGAGCGATTCGTAAATCATTCCTTCCACCCCCTGACTATATCCTCAGTTGAGATAAGCAGAACAATATCCCCGCTGTACATCGTGTGGGCTGAAAGCTGCTTCCCCCTCCTGAGTTGTCTGACAGTCTGCTGGAGTCTCTTCAAGGCTGACCCAAAGCGTAGCTGCACGACCTCGCTGAACTCCTCCCACGCCTGAGTTTTTGCTTTGACAACCATTGAAGCCACAGCCCGCTTGGCCTGCTGGTCAGCTGCCTGCAGAGTCCCCCAAGCTGACCGAGTGAAAGAGACTCCTCTGCAGCCTGATGGCTCTTTTTACCCCTGGTGTACGCCATCTGGTTCAGGGGCTGCCGCTGCATGAGCGCTAACAACCTGAAGGCCACAGCTCCAATGTGTCCTCACATTTGGAGGCAAAAAGTAAAGTACTGTTAATCTTACAACACCCAGTGAATGAGAGCACGTGTAGCATGGATGTGAAACTTATTTTATAGCACGGACCACTTTGATCTTAAGTGGGATGGGCCAAAGAAACTGTCCTTTGCGTTAGTCTATGAATGTTTAAATAATTATTTCAGTGTAATAAGCCATGGAGGAGATCTTTATCAGTGGGAAATGTTATCAAACTTATGAACATACATCCTGGGTCTCTATTGTTTACCAAACGTACACAGACATGTTTTTAAAAATATATGATCACAGATTGTTTTATCGAGGAGTCATATTGTTATATATTTCCTAATGGTGCTCACATGTGCTCGTGCTGGCCTTTAAATCCATGTTGAGATTAACAGAAACAATGAAAATATTATTAAAGTTAACAAGAAGGGAATTACGGCTCTTTGGCCCCTTATTTCAGTCAAATTGAGAATGAATTGTTTTATCTGCTTTGGATAATTACCAGCTACAAAACACAGCTAAAGAAGAATTATAATAAACACTGAGCAGTACTGCTGTGTTTTTTTAATGAGACGTTCGGACTGAGAACGTTGGAAAGTGGGAATAAAAGTGTAAACCAAGTTTCATGTCAGTGACACACATGCTTCAGTGTTCACACAGGTGAATTCGACCACGGTGCCTCTCACCCCCCCCACAAACAAACAAAGTCTTTTGACTGATTTCTGGTGTAATCGTGACGTCACTGCTTTGCTTTTTGCCAACAGACATCTCGGCTCATTCTAAGCACACCGACCGGTTTGGACCCTCTGAGTAAGTTTGAATCACCATGAAGATCCTCTAACTCATTGGGCGGTTTTTGGTCACAGCTTTTTAGTGTGGAGGATATCGCTTGATGATTCAGGTATTAATAAACACCATCATCAGGTAAAAACTCTTTTTTTGTTCAGCTGTAACTTTAACGTGTGGCCATAACAAGGTTATTATCGTTAACGAAAACTAACGAAATAACGAAAACTAGAAGTGAAAAAACATTTTCGTTAACGGAAATAAAAATAAAAACAAAAAAAGGAAAACTAACTAAAACTG